GTGAGATTTTGGGGGTGTCCTAAGAAGGGAGGGGGTGCTGGGGAGGGCGATGAGGGGATACTTGGGGGGGAATTGGGGAGGGGGAGCTGAGGGGGGCTCTCAGGGACTCTGGGGGGTCTCCACAGACCCCGCCGGGCCCCCCCCGCTATGAGGAGTCGACGGCCGAGTTCGGGTTCGTGGAGCGGCTGCTGCCCCCCAGCCGCATCCCCGAGCCCCCCCCGCACCCCAAATACCCGACCCCGTCCGGCTGGAGCCCCCCCGCAGGTCAGAGACCCCCGGGGCACCTGGGGGGCGGAATTACCCTCGGGGGGCATTAATTACCCCAAAGCGGTAATTAACGGGGGTTCGTTACTCTGAGACTAAGGGGGAGCTTAATGACTTTGTGGGAGGTGTTTAATTAGTTCCGGTTGGTGATCATTACCTCGGGGGGGACCCTAAAATGTACCCTTCAATAGAGAATTATTCACCCCAAACCAAACACCAAAGATTTATTTATTTACCCCAAATCGGGTTGAATTAACCCTGGTGCGGGTTGAATTCCTTCGGTGGGGTGTTAATTACCCCGGGGGAGGGGGTGGGTGTTAATTTTCCCTTGGAGATTGTTAATTACCTTGGAGGGTAACAAGGTATTTCCTTGAAGGTGGAATTACCGATTCCAAAGCAAGTAGGGAAAAGAATTTACTTACCCGGGATGGGTCGGATTAATTCAGGGGGTATTAATTCCCCTCGTGGGGATGTTAATTACCCTCGGGGAGGGTGTTAATTACCCCTTTCCCCCCCAGGCTCTCCCCCAGACCTGCCCTATTTTGTGCGGCGTTCGCGCCTGCACAACCTCCCCGTGTACCTGGGCCAGCGGCAGGGCCGGCGCCTCACGGCCCTGCGCCACATTCACGGCGACATCTGGGTGAGTGAGGGGCTCTGGGGGGGCTCTGAGGGACTCTGGGGGTCCCGCTGACCCCCCCCCCGTGCCCCCCCCAGGCGCTGGAGCGGGACCTGAGGGCGTTCCTGGGGTCCCTGGGGGTCCCTGAGGTGCAGGCGCAGGTGAACGAGGTGACGGGGACGCTGCGGCTGCGGGGGCACTGGGGGCCCGAGGTGCGGCGCTGGCTGCTCCAGAGGGGCTTCTAGAGACCCCCCAAACCTGCCAGGGTACCCCAAACTCTGCCGGGGACACCCCGGGCTCTGCAAGGGAGCTGCTCTGGATACACCTGGAGCATCATGAAACGGAGCCTGGACAGAACAGCATCTGCTAGGGGCACCTCCAGATCCACCTGGAACACCCCAAAATCTGTTGGGAGCAGCTCAAAATCCACAGGGGGAGTTTGGAATCCATTTGGGACCTTCAAATCCATCTGGAGCCTGGGGGAACCCTGAAATCCATGAAGGACGGCCCAAAATCCACGCTGGGCTATCCCAAAATCTGCTGGGAGCCCCCTAAAATGGAAGAACCTCCCCCAAAAACAAATCAAAACCCAATAAACAACTTAGATAACTCCTCACAGCCTCTTTATTTACAATGCCCCCCCCCCCAAATTTTGGGGGAGGGGTCCCACAATCTGTACAGGGGGGTGAGGGCAGGGTGGGGGTGCAGCCCCCCCCTCAGCTCTGCCCATAGTAGTGGCTGTAGCCCCAGGGGCTCTGGTAGCCGTAGGTGCCATAGCCGTGCTGGGGGGAATAAAAATGGGCGGGTGGGGGGGAGGATCAGCCTAGGGACCCCCTGGAGACCCCAGAAATCCCCCCAAAAAACACCCACCTGGTACCAGTAGTTGTAGGAGGGGTTGGGGTCTCCCCCTGAGAAGTTGAGGGGCCCCAGGAGTCCCGAGGGGTCGTCGGGACGGAGCCGTTTGTCATCGTGTTCTTCTGAGCTGGGGAAGGTGAAAATGGGAAATAGGGAATAAAGTGGTGGGGAAAGGGAGAAATATAGGGGAGGAAAGGAGAGAAATTGGGGGGGGAAGGAAAAGTTGTGGGGAGAAATTGGGGAGGGAAAGGGAGAAATTTGGGGGGAAATAGGGGAAAAGGAATTGAGGGGAAAAGAAATTCAGGATAGAAAGGGAAAATTAAGGAGAAATACGGCAAAAAGAGGCAAATTCAGAATAAAATGCAGCGAAGTGGGAATTAAAAAGGTGAATTTGGGATAAAGAAGGGGTGAAATTGAGGAGATAAAAATGTGGGAACTGGGATAGATTTGGGGGCTGATTTTGGGGGGGGTCCCAGGGGTCTCACCCGTTCTCAGGTGCCCGTTTTCGGGTTGCGTGCGCCTTCAGGATCTTCTGGTGCTCATCGTAGGCCTTGAGCAGGCTGGGGAGGGGGCAGCGCTCAGGGGGGAGCCCCCAGACCCTTCTTGGGGTCCCCCCAGGCTGTTCTGTCCTTGAGGAGGCTGGGGAGGGGCTTTGGGAGCCCCCAGACTCTTTTTGGGTTCCCCCCAGGATGTTTTGCCCTGGGGAGGGGGCAGCATTCAGGGGGGAGCCCCTAGACCCATTCTGGGGTCCAAGGGGGAGCCCCCAGACCCTTTTTGGTGCCTGGGCATGGACTGGGCACCCCCAGACCCATTTCAGGTTCCAGGAGGAGCCCACAGCCCCATTTTGGGGAAGCCCCCAGCCCCATTTCCCCCCCCACCTGTGGATGCTGGAGCCGAAGTCCTCGAGGAACTCGACGCGGCGCTGGGAGAACAGGAGCTTGGCCTCGTCGGGCAGGGGGCTGCGCAGGGCACGCTCGAAGCAGCTCATGGTGTTCCCCTCGTTCTGCCCCACATCCGCCCCAAACTCCATCTCCAGCAGGTTGGCGTGGAGCCGAGCATTGTCCTGCCCCACCCCAACGGGAACAAGGAGCTCTTGGGGGGGACTGGGAGGGGGTTTGGAGAATCCCCGAGGAGTATTTGGGGAAGCAAATGGGGTTTGGGGGCATTTTCAAGATGTTTGGGGGGGTACTGGGGGAGATCAGAGGGACTTCAGGGAGTTCAAGGGGGCCTAGAGGGGGTTTGGGGACACCCAAAGGGGCTTTGCGTAGTTCCACGGGAATCTTGGGTGCCCTAATTAGGATCTGAGGGCCTTCAAATGTGGCCTGGGATCCCCCAAAATGAGCTCTGGGCATCCCCAAATGCTGAGGCTCCCTCTCAGCATTTCAAGGCAGTCAAATTCCCACTTTTCCCCCCGGGCTTTTCCCCTCTCACCGGGTCCTTCTCCAGCGCCTCCACGAGCACTTTGCGAGCCTTGCCCAGGTTTTTCTGCACCTTGCACACCTGCCGGGCCAGTTTGACGGCGTAGAAGGAGCCCAGGGGCAGCCCCTCGTTGGCCCTCATGGCCTCGAGCAGCAGCGCCTCGGCCTCGGCCACGCGCCCGTGCCGGCGCTCCAGGCTCACCCTGCGCAGCCGCACCATGGCCAGGCCGGGCACGGCCGCCTCGAAACAGCGCAGGATGCGCCGGGCCTCCTCAATGTTCCCTGGGAAAAGAGGGGAGAATGGGAAAAATGGAGTTATTGGGGGGAAAATGGGGTTATTGGGGTCCCCAACCCCGGCACGGCTGCCTCGAAACAGCGCAGGCTGTGCCGGGCCTCCTCAATGTTCCCTGCGAGTGGGAAAACAGAAGACAAAGGGCTCGGGGGTGCCCTTGTGGTGTTACTGGGGTCTCCAGGATGGGTTATGGAGTCCTTAGGATGCTTTTAGGGGTCCCTGGGGTCATCTGGGGACTCCCACGTTGGTTTTGGGGGTCCCTGAGTGTCTTTGGGGTGAAATTTGAGCCCCATCCCCAAGTGGGAGCCCCCAAACGGGGCCATTCCCAGATCATTCCCGGATTTTTGGGCTCCCCCGGGATTTGGGGCTCCACGCAGGACTGGGGGACCCTCAGACCTTGTTTCTCCTCGAAGGCAGCCCAGAGCAGGTGGATGTTGGGCTTGCGGGGCAGGTGGAAGCCGCAGGCTCTCTGGAAAACGCTGCGGGCGCCCGGCACCGTGCGGGACTCCAGGTACCGCGTGTACTGCAGGGAAAACGGGGAATAATAGGAGAAAGGAAAGGAGAATAATGGGGAAAACGGGAAGGAAAAGAAGGGGAGAAAAGGGGAAAAATGGGGGGGGGGAAGGAGAGGTAGAAGGTGGAGGAAGGAGGGGAAGAGAGGTGGGGAAGAGGGGAAGGGAAAGAGGAGGAAAATGGGGAGAAAATAGGGAAAATGGAGAAAAAGGGAAGGAAAAACAAGAAGAAAAGTGAGGAAAAGGAGAAGACAGAAGGAAAATGGGGAGATAAAGGGGGGAAAGGAGGAAAAGAGGGTGCAAAAGGTGGAGGAAGGAAGGGAAGAAAAGCAGAGAAAAGAAGAATGGAAAGAGGGGCAAATGCAGAGAAAAGGGAATTTTTTGGGGGAAAACGTTCCATTTCAAAAAGCAGGGATTTTCTGAGGGACAAGCAGGGATTTTGGGGATAAAAGCAGCAGGAATTTTTGGGGAAAGGCGGGGGGGGATCCTGCCCACCTTGACCCAGAACTCCTCGTAGAGGGCGCAGGCGATGAGGCAGCGCTCGAACAGGACGATGCTGCGCTCCTGCGAGCCCGCGGCCACCTCGAAGTCCAGGTACTCGCGCCAGTTCCGCAGCTGAGCCCGCTCCAGCGGCTTCACGTGGAAGTAGGGACGCTTGATCTGCCCACAGTTCCAGGATTTGGGAATTCCAGGGGGATTTAGGGGGGGATTTTATGAGGGAAGTTCTGGGGGACACCCCAGGGGGAATCTCGGAGGATTTGGGGAGGATTCCTGGGGAATTCCATGAGAGATTTTGGGCGAGGATTCTGGGGGGATCCTGGGAGAATTGAGAGGGGGTTCTGAGGGAATTAAGGGGGGATTCCAGAGGATCCCAGCCCCTTGCACCCACCCCATCCTCAAAATTCCAGCGCTTGCTGACTTCGGCCTCATTCTGGGCGTAGATTTGCTGCCTCATGGAGATCACGAGCTCCCGGATCTTCTCCTGGTCCGGATCCTCCTGGAGCCACGGGGGATCCACGGGAATGGGGGGCCCAAGGGGGGAAAGAATAAATACTGCAATTTATTATTGGTGATAAATTGGAAAGAATGACCTCAATGATAAAATGAAATAGCAAACGAAGACAAATAACAATGAATAAATTAATGTGAATAAACAGTGATTAATGTTAAAACCCTCAGGATAATAAAAATGCAAATAAATACGAATAAATATGCGCAATAAATGCAAATAAACACAAAATACAGACACAAAACCCCCAGGAAACAGATTTGAATAAAGCAATAAATAAACAAACTCGTGCCAATAAATGAATAAATGAATATTAACCTAATTAATGAAGGTTCCAACCCCTCTAAAGCCACTGGGAACTCCCGGATTTTTTTGGAATTCAGGTTACCTGACCCTCGGGCGGGGCTCCGGGGGACGGCTCCTCCCCCGGGGGGGCCTCGGAGCCCTCGGGCGGCGCCTTCGGGGCGGGAGCGGGGTCGGAGCCCGAGCTGGAGCCGAGCTTGGAGCGAACCCAGAGGAGCTCCTCAGGGGACAGGATGGCACCGGGGGGGTGCTGCAGCACGTGCTCCTTGAACCTGCAATTCCCGCCCAGAATCCGGGAATTCCCACCCGGGATCAGGGACTTCCCACCGGAATCGGGGATTTCCCACAGGGATTTGGGCGTTTCCCACCTGGATTTAAAGGAATTCCCCCACAAATTTAGGGATTTCTTTTTCCAGGAGAATCTCAGGAATGCCAAGGCTTTCCCGATGGCAATCCCAAGAATTCCAGGGTGGAATCTCAAGGTTTTCTGGGTCAATCTCGAGGTTTTTCAGGGAAATTCCAGGTTTTCTTGGGGAATCTCATGAGCCCCAAGAGTTCCCCAGTGAATTCCCACTGTTTTCCCTGTGGATTCCCGCTGCTTCCCCATTCTTTTCCCAGCTGTTTTCCCATGGAATTCTCCCCCCCATTCCCCTCACCTCTCCCAGTGGTGGCTGTAGAGCTGCGTGGGCATGGACAGCAGGCGGTCGTAGATGGCCGTGACCGCCCGCAGGTCGCCGCGCTCCCGCTCCCATTCCAGGTAGGATTCCCAGAGCTTGTCCGAGCGGAAATCCATCCCAGCCGCAGCCAGCGCCGCCTCGAACGCGCTGGGGACAGGAGGAGAAAGGGAATTCCCAGGTCAGGCAGAGCCAAGGGATTCCCGGGATAATGGGGGGGGACATTCCTGGGAAAAAGGGGGGGGGATTTGCGGGAAAAGCTGGGGCTCCTTCACAGGAAAAACCAGGACATTCCCAGGGTTATTCCCACCCACTCCTCACCCGCTGGGTGCTGGGGACATTCCCAGACACGTTGCCAGCACATTCCCTGGATTTCCCCAGGCCATTCCCATCCATTCCTCACCCCCAGACTCTCTGGGCACTCGCAGGACACTCCCAGGGACATTCCCAGCCCATTTCACCAGGGTTATTCCCACCGTTGCTCACCCCCTGACCCTCTGGACGCTCTCAGGCTGTGCTGGGTCCAGCGAGCTCTGCAGGTGCCCGATGTAGCTCAGCCACAGCTCCAGGCTCAGCGGGATCGACTGCAGCCCCCGCTCCAGCACCTGCGGGACACGGGGCTGTTCCCTCCCAAACCTGGCAAAAAACGGAGTTTTCCTCCCCCAAGGCAAAAAAGGGAAATTTTCTCTCCCAAACGCAGGGGGGAAACGGAGACTACCCCCCAGAAAACGGAGAAAGAAAAGGTAGATTTCTACACCCCAGAAGTCAGGAAAAATGAGGATTTTACCCCCTAAAACTCAGGAAAAAACAGGGATTTTATCCCCCAAACCCCAGTTAAAAATGGGAATTTCCCCCCCCGCAAACCCCAGTAAAAAGGGGATTTTACCCCTGCAAACCCCAGGAAAAATGGGAATTTCCCCCCCCAAAGCCCAGGAATGCCCTGCCCACCTGCTGTGCGCTGCGGGCACTGCCCAGCCTCCTCTCCAGTTCGGCGTACTTGCGCCAGTAGCCGTAGCAGTACGGGTAGCGCTGGAAGAACGCGTCAAACGCGCGCCGGGCGCCCTCCAGCAGCTCCTGAGGGACACGGAGGGACAGCAGGGATGTCACAGGGACTCTTTGAGGTTTAGAAAAATGTTGGGGGTTTTACAGGGAACGTTGGGGTTTTTACACATAAAACTGTGATTTGCATGGGGGAAATAGGAGTTACAACAGAGGAAATTATCATTATAATGTGTCTGGTGGGGGGGTCATTAATGGCTCTGGGGGGACTCACTAACAGGGCTGGTGAGCCTGAGCGGTTAATTAACCGCTCCGGGGGTCATTAATAACCTCCACAGGTTTATTAACACGTCCAGGGTCCCTCAGGGGTCTCACCTCCTGCTCCACGTAGGCCAGCAGGTCTGTCCAGGCACTGAAGTCGTGGGGGTTGCCCTGGGCCGCCCCCCAGAGCCGCTGGAACTCGGGGGGGAACGGGGGCGGCTCCTCCGGGGGGGGCTCGGCTGGGGGGGCCCCGTTCAGGCCCTGCGGGGGGCGAGGGGCAGCGGCGGCCTCAGGGGAAGGGGGGGCGGGAGGGGGGGGCTCGGCCGGGGGGGCTGAGGGGGCAGAGAGAAATGGGGCACGGTTAATGGAGGGGAAGGGGGGCACAGCTCTGCCCCCACCCCCAACATCCCCTCAGAGCTCCCAAATCAGCTTCACCCCCTCCCCAGTGCCAACTTTCCCCCTCAGAGCCCCAAAATCCCTCAGAGACCCCAAATCCCCTCAGAGACCCTTCCGAGCCCCCTCACATCTCGCCCTCCTCAGCCCAAACACCCTCAACACCCTCAACCACCCAAATCCCCTCAAACCCCCCCCAAATTCCCTCAGACCCCTCCGAGCCCCCTCACATCTCGCCTCCATCTCGGTCCCTCACTCCCCTCCTTCCCCCCGACACCCTTGGACCCCCCCGTTACCTCACCCCCGCCCGTTCCCGGGGTCTCACCGCCATCCCCGTCCCCCTCCATCGCCCCCCCGGTCCCGTCGGGGCCGCCCGGCCCCTCCTCGGGCCCCTCCGCCGCCATCGCGCCGCTCGGGGCCCGGATGTGGCGGGACAGAGCGACCTCCTCGGCGAGGGCGCCGTCTGGCGGGCGGGAGGACCCGCAGCGCCGCCGCCATAGCGCGGTAACGGCGGCGGGAGAACCATAGAGACGCGCCCGGGCGGCCAGAGCGGCTCCCACTGCCGCCGCCACAACCATAGAGACAGGAAAGAACGGCCAGGGCAGCCCATGGAAGAATACACCAGTATAAACCAGTACAGACCAGTACAGACCAGCAGAGGGGGCTCCGCACCAACCGTGGGGACTTCGGCGGGTGCGAAACCATTATAAACCAGTACAACGCACTGTTGATCGGCCACAGAGACTCTGAGGGAGGGGAGAACCACAGAGACGAGGGCGGGGCCGCGCGGCCCCTGGCGGGCGGGAGGAGCCGAGCTTTACTGCAACCTTTATTGCCGTATTTACATCGGAGCTGGTAAAAATTTGTACATTATTTACAAATTAAATAATTCCGCCACCGCTTCGGGGGGAAAAGGAGCGATTTTGGGGTCCAGCGCCCCCCCGGGCCGGACGCTGGAACGATCCCTCCTTTCCCCCTCCCCGTGGCTTCACCCCAAAACGAGGTAATTTTGAGGAATCCACCCCAAAAAACTCAAAACAGACCCAAAAAACGATGATTTTGGCTGAAAATGGGTAAAAAAAAAAACAACACGAAAGGGTTACAAATCAACTCCCCAAAGCGGCGCCGCTTCGTTATTGCCAAATTCCTCATTAACCCATTCAAGCTGGGGCCGAAACTGCCCAAAAAATTAAAGGAGAAAGAAAAATGCACCTCAAACCCAAAAAATCCCAATTTGGCTTCTTTTTGCCCCAAAACTCCACCACGTTTAGCTCCTCCCCCCCCCCCAGCTGCCGTTTTGGTGCAAAAGCCGCCGTTTTCTGTCACTTCCGGCCGCGGATTTTGTGGGTTTTTTTTTGGTTTTTCCCTGAGAATTTGGGGTTCCAGAGGCACTGGGGGCGCGGCCAAAACCGGGGCGGGATTTGGGCCAAAAGCGCTGAAAAATGGGAAAAAAGGCAGCGAAAAACTGCAATTCTGGCTGTGGGAAACCAGTACAAACCAGTCTGGGACTGGGGGAGGAGGGTGGGATTTGGGGTGTCCCCCGCGGGGAGGGGTTAATACTGTTAATGGGAACGAGGGGAAGCAGAATTCCCAAAATTCCAGGGGGAACCCTGAAATTCCATGGAGGGGACCCAAATTCCCACAGGGGGAGGAGGCCCAAATTCCTGGGATGATCTCAAAATTCCACCTGGAGGCCCCGAAATGCCAAGGAGGGGCCCCAAAATCCTCGGGGTAGCCCCAAAATTCGAATGGGAGGAGTCCCCAGAATTTCAGCAGGGGTTTCCCAAAATCCCAGGGGGGTCTCAAATTCCCTGGGCTGGGCAAGGTCAGAGGGCAAACCCCCCCAGGGTGGATTTAGGGAGGGAGGGGACACTCCAAAATTCCCAGGAAACAACAGGGATGCGATTGTGGCTCAGTGGAGAGGGAGAATTGGAGGGAAATGGGGAGAAACTGGGAAAAAAGGAAAGAGAATTGGGAAAAAATGGAGAGGAATTGGAAAAAAATACAGGGAAATGAGGGGAATGGTGGAGGAAAATGTGAGGAAATGGGGAAAAATGGAAGGGAATGGGTGAGGAAATGCATGGGAAGGGGAAAATTGGGGAAATGAGGGAAGAATGGGGGAAAATGGGAAAGGAATGAAGGGGAAGGGATGAGAAACTAGGGAAAAAATTGGGAAATGGGAAAAACTGGGAGGAATAAGAGGGAAAAGGGAAAGGGGAAATGGGGTTGGGGTCACCAAGGGGCACAGCTGGGACTGGGATTTGCTTCCAGTCGGGAATTGGGGTGGGAAATGGGGGGAGGGTCCTGGAACT